GAATTTTTCAGTTTTATTATAAATAGAAACATTTTCAAAGGTAGGAGAGACTTGAGATCTGTAGCTGCTACTCAGTTTGACGCCAGGATTTGTACTGTATAAATGATAAAGTACTTCATTAGTATGTCCATTCTGACCACTGGTGTGTTTCTGTGAGCACTGTGGATTTTTTAATTTTGCTAGGAAGGCAAAGCCCTGAAAAGTCTCAGCACAAACACTAGCCTTTTATTTGGTGTACAACCTGCAAAAATGTGAAGAATTCGAAGGAATTTTTTTCCTGCATGTACATAGAGCCCAAGTTCTCTTCTGTGGGACTGTCTCACTAGAAGACAGTCTGGGCGAATCACAAAGCTTTCCTCCACTGAGGAGCTCTTAGCAAAATAAATGCTTCCAGCTGCTGATGACACAAATACTTATGGAGGAAAAGTGGTATACGGAGGTGTCGGTAATGAGGAGGGGGTTGGTAGTGATTAGCTGAAGACAACCCACTGTCATGTTTTGTGTTGAAAAAGCGTTTGAGGCTGGGAAAGAGAAGCAGTAGGCTAAGGCAATGTATCGATTAGATTATTGCAGGGTACATTATGGTCCTTGAAATTTCAAAGATGCTTGAGCAAGGATCTTTTAGCTCTAAAAAAATGTAGCTGAAAGATGTTTTTGAATTTCTTCATCTTTCCATCTTTACTCAGTGTTAATAGAAATCTTATTTAAGTTTGAATCCTTCTGGTTTCAAAAGCTAAGTTTTAAAACATGTTTATCACTTTTTCTCTGCCTGCAGCACAAACAAGATTTTTATATTTTGTATTTTAGTCTGGATTGATATTTGATTTATCCAGTATTTGTAGGCTTTCACCTTATTTTTTCTTAGGCATTTTTCCTCCATGGACATTAAAATACTATTTTCTAAATAGTGGGGAAGAGTGTTGTGATTTATTTTTTTTTAATTTTGTTTTTGTCTGGCTTTGGTGGGGCTTGTTTTATTTTGGGGTGGGTTTTTTGGGTGGATTTTTTTGGGGTTTTTTTTGTTTTTTTTTTAAGTAAAACATATTAAGTGATCCTTATTTTGAGTAGTTTCTGGATAAACCTACATTTGATGTTGCTGTTGTACCCAGTATGGAGGTGAACCGATCAAAGTTGCTTTGTGCAGGCACTCTAACTTAGCAGAACCCATGTGAAAGGTTTCTGTGTATATATATATAGAGCCATAGAATCATAGAATGTTTTGGGTTGGAAGGGACAAGCGTTCCCTTTCAATCTGCAGGGGTTTGGCCCTGTGTGCAAATTGCCCCTGTGGTGTTTCTGCCGGGCATCGGAAGCTTGCGCAAGGGCCCCCTTCTAAAGGGTTTTTTCTTAAAAAAGCAATGCTTGTGTTCCCTCTAGTGGCAGAAGGCGGAATTGTTGCATGTCACTTGCTAGATGGTGTGCGAGAGCACAAAAACTCTGATTTAAAGACATTTAAGTGCAGTGCAAACATTTACTCCATTTAGCCATAGCTGGAAGAAAAAAATATCATTCTGTGTCTGTCAAACACAAGACAATTAAACCTGCCTCTTCTTACGACTGCCTGTCCTGGGCATGTCTTGCAGGAGCAATAGAGGAGGAATGCCCTCTTTTCCTGTCTTTTTTTTTTCTTCTATTTAAATAGCCTCCCCCCCTGTATTTTGATGCACAGTATAAGATCCTTCCTTTTTTCTGTGTGATCCAGGTCATGACAGGTTTGGAAGAATGTTTGTTAATCTCACCAAATGCTTACAAACACCCAAGGGTGGTTGACTAAACATCAAACAAGGGGAGTCCCTATAGAGCTGAACTGCTGGTCTGGCTGCCCTTAGGGATCCTTGCTTACCCTCTTAGTGCCTGATGAAAGGCATCTCCAACCTTGTCTTCCCAAGGGCCATGAAAGGTGAGATAAGAAACTAGGGAGCAGGCATGAGAAATGTTTGTGTTCTCCCTGCCCACAGGAGACTACCTGGGGGTTTTTTGCCCGCAGAGAGTAGCCAAGGGAAGAAAAGGATGGAGGCCGAGACATTCATAGGCTGCTTGTGCTGCTGCTGAGGTAGCTCCTAACTGGTGATTTAGATGTGAAATAATGATGTGCAATAATTTAGAATGGTCTCTTTTCTAGTCGTAAATCTCCTTTCTTGGGAAGGAGAGGCAAGATGTCTTGCTTTCTACTTGCTGGATTCTGTCCATGTTTAGATGGCTTGAACATAGGAGACAACTGTTGCTGCAAATGCACAACTCTTCTCCTTCTACCATCATTTCCATCTGTGCCAGTAGCAACTCTGTAAATACTACAGTACTTATGCATACAGAGAACTGAAATGGTCCTAGGAAGCATCTCTGGGATAAAGAATAGGAAGAGCTTCAGGCAAACGTGCCAAATAGTTTTTCTCCCTGTCAGTTTTGCCATGATGAGACTTCTTTTTCCTTTGAAAGGGATGCATAAACATTTTTAACTGTGTTGCTGAGTTAACCAGTCAAGATGAATGTTGCAGAATTTGAAACACTAGCATCACTGGAGAGGAGTCACTACATCACAGGCTTTTTAAATACAGTTTGTGAGTATGAATTCAGTTCTGCAGTTTCTAAGCTGCTTCAGAAAGCAAAACTGGATACACAGATTCAAGCTCACACCTGTTTTCATACCTGCTGACTTGTACCAGTGACATGAGACAAGATGTATCTCATCTACTAGGCAACAAAGCCTTTATTTTTTTTAAGTGATTAAATAGTCCAATACTTTTGAAGTTCTTGGCACTGTGGAAAAATTATGGCACTTATTTCAGGGCTTGAATATGCAATTAAGCATCTAATTTTAAACCTGCACACTCAATAATATTGGACTTTGCTACAGTTATTTCCTTTTTATGGTACTGCCAACCGCTGAAGTATAGATTTGTACATTTGACATATTAATGCATTCTAGTAATGGAGGTACCTGATCAAGCAGCAGCCAAATGACCACAAAATAGATGTCTGAGGTGAAATCAGAGACTGCAATAAACAAGGGAAAACTGCTTGCCTTCATCATATACTGACAAGTGAAATCCCTATCTTCCATCTGACTTGAAAAACTGGACCCGGTTGGTAGAGCCCTTACAGTCTTAGGACCCAGCATCCCATCCCATTGACCACCACATGCATTATTTTCTTCAGTCTTGATGGTTTTTCCTCCCTTTCTCACAGTAATTTTTGACAGGATTGTAGTATGTTCCTGTAATCCTAAATAAGCATATTCTGACTTGCTCATAAATTCAAATCAAGTACTTAGCTATTACTAATACACTCTAGCATACCTGGTTATAACGAGATACAGGCCTTTCCCAGTTACTGAGTGGAGCTTTCTCCCTTGTCTTTCCAGCTGATCTGAAGCAGCGAAGGTAGCTGTGCACTGCCTGTGCACGCTGAATTACTGTGGGCACTCCCCAGGTATTGCAGTTGCTGGTTTTGCTTTACGGTATCGCATACCTATCACTCACTTGCCAGATTCTGTACACTAGATGCTCATTGAGATGGCATTTGAATATAGTCCTGTTAGTCCCAGGGGGGTGGTTTGTTATCAAATCGGCAGGAAAAGCGGCGTTCTCTGCTCCAGCAGATGCACAAGTGTCATCCAGTTTGTACTGATCTGTTGAACAGCAAACATGTAATGTAAGGGATGGTCAGAATATGAGGAGACAGGCTTTTAGCACCATAGAAGCTATCTCAGTATTTAACATGCTGAGAAGACAAGCTAATCATGAAAGACTTGTCTAGATGTCTATGTTCCTTTGACTACTTAGGTATTTTGTAGATGCTGACGGCCAGTGTGAACTTTAAATCAATTTATTGCCTATGTTTACATATGCGATAAAACCATTTGCCATATCATTTAACTACACACAGTGAATTGTTGACCATGAGCCGATCTGACCTTTTCAGCTCCAGTAATATGCAGTAAGAGTATCTGGATCTAACTGAAAATGTCAGATGCGCTCTAATATGCAACCCATCAAAGTTACGATGCATATGAACCAAGAACTGGTTAAGAATATAAATTTGTAACATCTGTGGTGCATCTCAATTGCTTAGATAAATTGTTCTGCCATTGATACAGACTAGCTAAAAACATGCATTAAAAGCAGTCCTTTGGAATACATGGGAGATGTACAGCCGTTTAAATATTAAAGTGATCTCAAAAGAGGGGTAATAACACCAGGTTAGAATATTACTGGAAAAAACAGTGACCGGTGAAAATACTCGTGCTCTAGTTAATGCCTTGCCTAGCTTTGTTGTGTGGTAATATAAGATTAGTGGTCTCGTGTAACCTCAGAATTTTCTTTTTTGATGTTAATAATGTTTGCTGCTTGTGAAGTTTTTAGTCTTTCCAGGCATAATCCATTGTATAAGATGAGGCGTCCCTATCAATCTTATTTATGTTGAATTCAGTATTAAGCATTTTTCATAGTCTTGCACTTTTTATAAAAAAAAAGTCTCGTCTATTCTTAAAAGCTTTCTAAAAACCAACATTTTTGGCAGTAGGTTATGGGGTTTAATGATGTTTAATTTCTTTGTTGTCTTTGCGTCATCTTCGAAGTTTCTGTTCTTGGTGTTTTACTAGATATTCAGATCTAGGATAAATCTGTCTTTAATAATTATTTATCAAGTATGAGACCAATTATTCATTGGTATAATTTCTGGATGATAAATTTAAATTTGGATTAAAGTGAATGGGCACAATGAAAAGCAACTTTGTATCCTAAGAAAATGGTATTTTGTTAGCTAAACAGTCTCTCAAGATTGTTTAATTTTAAAGCAGTTGTTACACCAAAATTGAGTTGGTTTTTTTTTAATCATGAGTAGTTCATGCAATTTGAGGCATTAGTAACTGAATTGCTTCTATTAGTAAAATGTTGTTGGAACTAGAATTAAAATGAACTAAGGGAAGCATTGCTGAAACAGTGACTTTGCATTAAGGAATAGCGTGTATTTAAAACGACTTGAACTGTTCTTGTGGGGCAATGCTGCCCTCCCCTGGTAAGCTATGGAAGGTAGGTATTTTTATCTCAGCCCAAGCAAGTTCTAGGGCTTCCTACTAAAGAGAAATTGCTGAATTGGTGAAAACGGTGGGAAAAAATCTGTCATCTTCTGTCAGGGGTTATTGATTACAAAGACGCCACCGTAAGCTCAGGAAGTCCCTTCACTGCACATTCCTGAGAGCTGAGGAAGGTAGTCCAAGAAAATCTTACTATTGTATGGTCTGTTCTTAATATATTTTGTCAGACATCTGTTATTAACCACTGCTGGAGACAGAATATTGGGGTAGAACTCATAAGGTTCTTTAGATTGTCGGGCTATGGTTGTTGTCTGTTAAATAAGTGTGTTGCTATTTGCTTTAATTTTGTCGTCTTTCCATTTCTAGCTGCTAGGCAGTTTCACCGCAGCCCAGATGGCAGAAAGAGATGAGCCTTGTTTCAAATATAAGAATTTTAGTTCCCATATCTGACTTCAATAAAGTGTGTGTGGTGGGGTTTGGGGTTTTTGGTTTGGTTTAGGGTATAAAATATCCCTTTCTTTTTATAATTAAGATTTTTCTAACTGCTGGACAACTTGAAAAACACACAACTTTTCTTCCTGTGGCATGTGACTTGACTGCTGTTTTGTTGTCTCCTCATCCCTCTCAGTGCATTGGAGATCACCTAACAAAAAGGAAAACTGGAGAGAATATGTTAAAGTGTCTGGTTCATACATTTGTTCATGTCTTAGATATGAACAGATTGCCAGAGTCAGGATCAGGAAGGAGTTTTTTTCCCCAGACTGCTTTGCTTGAGGACTTTTGCTTAGGTGTGAGTTCTTGTCTATTACTTAGGGTCAGGTCACCTGGGAGATGTTTTAAGAACTGTGGAATATAATGACATTCCCAACCTGACCTGCTCTGGTCCAGCAGCATGTTAGAGTGGTGGTGGCTGTTGATATTTACTACTACCTTTTATAAAAAGGCGCTAGGAGTTGTTTTGTGTCTATGGTGCCTGCCAGTCCACAGAGCAGGTGTGGACCATTTTGAACTAGACCCCAACTACTCAGTTACCTGTGACTGTGGCAGATGGGACCTGAAGATCCCAGTGGTCCTTCACAGGCTTCTTACTAAAGTGATGTTGCTGACTGCAAAATAGTACTATTTACCTTCATAGAATCATTATAGAATCATAGAATCATTAAGGTTAGAAAAGACCTCCAAGACCATCAAGTCCAACTGTCAACCCAACACCACCATGCCTACTAAACCATGTCTTGAAGTGCCACATCTACACATTTTTTTTAACACCACCAGGTCTGGTGTCTCCACCACATCTCTGGGCAGCCTCTTCCAATGCTTAACAACCCTTTCGGTGAAGAAATTTTTCCTAATATCCAATCAAAACCTCCCCTCGCGCAACTTGAGGCCATTTCCTCTTGTCCTATCTCTTGTTATTTGGGAGAAGAGACCAACCCCCACCTTGCTGCAACCTTCTTTCAGGTAGCTGTAGAGGGTGGCAAGGTCTCCCCTCAGCCTCCTTTTCTCCAGGCTAAACAATCCCAGTTCCCCCAGCCGCTCCTCATAAGCCTTGTGCTCCAGACCCCTCACCAGCTTTGTTGCCCTTCTCTGGACACGTTCCAGCAATGCAACGTCTTTCCTGTA